GAGAAGACTGAGAGGTGATCTCATCAATGTGTACAAGCATGTGAAGGGGGTTTGTCGAGAGGATGAGGCCAGTCTCTTCTCCGTGGTGCCCAGCGACAGGACAAGAGGCAACGGGCAGAAACTGAACCACAGGAAGTTCCACCTAAACCTGAGAAAAAACTTCTAGACTGTGAGGGTGACAGAGCACTGGAAGAGGTTGCCCAGAGAGGTAGTGGAGTCTCCTTCGCTGGAGATATTCAAAACTGGCCTGGATGCGATCCTGGGCAATATGCTGTAGAGGACCCTGCTTGAGCAGGGGGGTTGGACTAGATCTCCAGAGGTCCCTTCCAACCTCAGTCATTCTATGATTCTGTGATTCTGATGGAACAAGACAAAACAGGGAGGCAGTCAGTTATTTGACAGTATCTTGGATGGAACGTGCAGTGCTTTTAATCAGAACAACTTTTTTTCCTTCTGCTTCCCTATCCCATTCCATTGTTCTAACGTCCTGGGATCCCTAGTCTACCGAGGCAAATAAAAGCACTAGGGGTCTGTTGCCCTTGGGTACTCGAGGAGGCCCAACCTCCCAGAAAACTCAAGTGTAATAGTCAAAGCAATTCCCATGCAGCCATTTGGGGTTCCAGTCTGGGTAGGTGTCCTCCCTATGTGCATCAGCATAACCTGTGGTCAGAAACTGGCTTACAGCACTGGGGCAGAAAAAGCTGGCTCAGATCTGCAGTCACGTTCCTGCGAGCTCATGCAGGAGAGGCTGAGCCCAGGCCTGAGGACACCTGGCTGACCTGCTGGCAAGCAAGCTGGGAAAAGAGCAGCCTGGTGCTGGAAGAGGCACGGTGCCGCAGAGTGCGCAGTGAGGGTCGCTATGATGAAGAACCCAAACGTAAAGTTAAAGGAGAAGCTTACAGACATGCCACAAATAGGAAATTAGCCTCCCTCTTCCCCCTCTTAAGCATCATCATCCCACACCAAGTATCTGGGATTAGGTCTTTAATATAAACTTGGCAATTAGGTACATTTGCTTACTCCTGGCTCCAAATCCCTCCTAGGTGCTCATATTTTATCTATTTTTAATTCTGTCTGGGGGGAAGCAGCAGTAAGTTTCCAAGGGTCTCCCTCTCTGCCCATAGATCATGACGCTTCTCTCGGCTCCCCTGCATCTCTGCCACAAGCACGGAGCCTCTCATAAGCCTCCTGAGGTTTCCTCTTGACATTCGTGGCATCCAGATTGCCATTTCCAAAGCAAAGGTAGACTGACACCCAGCATGTTCGTTACGTGAGACTATCTCTGACAAATGAAAGACCATTTCCCTATCACACTGATCCATCAACCTTCTCCGCTGATGTCAAGACAAATGCAGTTGAATGATGCCTTCTGCTGGCACATTTCCATCACCACTCAGCCCTCCTCTCCTCTGTCCTCACCCTCTAAATTGCTCATGATTTAAGCAGGAAAAAAAAAATCAGCATCCATGGGGCTACTAAAGCCCAAAACATACTGCCCCAAAGGAGACTGTAATCTCAGAGACTTAGCATAGGCATGATAGCACCTGGTAGCAGTGGGGAAAAAAAAATGGGGTTTATGCTACTGTCTGTCTGCTATGTCCCCAATACCAGGGGCACGGTGAGCATGTGTGTTTCTGATGTATATTCTTGCTGCTCATGTTGCTACCTCTCCCCGCTCCGGTGGCTGACAATGCATTATTGTCAGATTTTTGCCTTGCAATATTTTTCACTGCCTATATTTTCCATTTCTTCTTTGTTATAAAAACAACAAAGTGGAGAAAAAAAAATCTAAACCGAACAAAGAATTGTTTTTGTCAGTAACAAGGCTGGAATCTGGCTCACAGGGTCCCTGCAGTGCAACCCGCCAGGGGACATGCAAGGAGAGAGGGTAGAGAAACTCAAAACTATTAATTCTATAAGGAACTCTACTTGGGAAAGATTCCTAGGTTGTGGCAGAGGAAATCCTAGATGGAAAGTAAAGACGGTCATTTTCTACATGTTCAGCTCAATAAACCCTTTCCAAGAAGAATCTGCTGGCCGTTCATTACACACGATTTGTAGCCAAGAAGTTCCCATGCTCTGGAGGTGTCAGACCAACACACGGAGTGGGTTTGACATGTGCCGCAGAGGTGCAGAGAGTCCTGCTGATCTGTCCTGGCACCTGGAGCACATGGCATTGTGTTGCACCCCAAGAAGTTTTAATCTGGCTCACAGGAAGGTGGTAAAGACAGGGACAAAGGGGTTGGGCAGGAGCAGCAGTGCTCAGAAGAAAGCTCTGCCATTTACTTTAACAAAGAATGGAAACTCTAGAGAGCAGCTAGAGTTTCCACTGACCTCTACCTCTAGAGCGTAGGCTTTAGCAGTAGCCCAAGGGGGGATTTGCTCACAGGTCTATCCAGTTATTTAAGAAGAAAACCCTTGCACATTGCTTGGATTTGATGTCTTTGTTTTGACGGGAATCCCAAACAGTGCTGAGAAGCAGGATACTTCTCTTAGAAGCAGGGATAAATCAATTATCCTTTGCAGGAGAAAACTTTAAGATAAGAAACAAAATGAAATGTTTGTATCTGGCCCTAGATTTCCTGCTGGGTAGCTCTAGAGGTCCATTCCAACCTAGCAGAAAATGATCTGGATTCAGCTTTGAGCTACCACAAGGTCCAAGGGGAGGGGAGAGATGTTCTCAGCTTGTCTTTAACCACGCAGGTCTAGAAGAGAAGTAACAGCAAGAGATTTATAGCTTAGCAGCATCAGAGAAGGAGGCATGAGTTGGTAACCTCACAGCAGTGACTGCACTGTGCTGCTTATATGTTTGCTCTGCTCACGGAAGTAGCATAATGACTAAAAAGTGAGAAGGGGGAAAAAAAGGGCTGAACAATTAAAGGGAAAAACAACAACAACAACAAAAATCTAAGCACAGTGTGTTATCCAGGCAAGGAAATAACATTTTTCTCTCCTGGCCAAAATGCTTTTATCTAATTAATGCTGGAAGTCTCTGATGATGGGTCCTGGTGACAAGGGATGGACAGTTAAATTCCATTGATCTCACCTTCATGGGACCTGATGTTTATCATCCCCAGTGTCAGACTGAGTTAGCAGCGTCTCATAATTTAGAATGAACAATACCAACAGTGCTTAATGTGGACCAGAAATAATATCTGACATGCTGCTCTTCTGCTGGGCTCTTAATGAGCAATTTGAGGTGTTAATAGCTTAGAGACTATCTTCATTTCCAGCTCTGCCATGGAGGATCACGTGGTGTCTGCTGAGGAACCCGGAGAGAGTACGTTACTGCTTAATTAACATGCAGAGCAGAAAAGGGAGCTGTCGAAACATCCACATCACTAACAAGCCAGCAAAGGGGCTACGCCAAAGCCCTTTGGAGCAAGGAGCACCATCCTACCAGATGTTCAGGACGCTCAGCTGCTACAGAGTCAGTGGAGTCGGGTGACTCAGCATCTGCTGGAAAAACAAGCACCTGCAGGCTCAGGTCCAGCCAAGCCAATTTAGGTGGAGATGGGATAATTAAAAGCTGAAAACTGATTCAGTATTCACATTTCCAAAAACATACAGAGGTTTTAAAAAGTAAAAGTAACAATAAACAGGCAACCGGCCAAAGAGTGGTCCCAGAGGAAATTAATTCCACATAGGCTTTGCTGTAATGTGCTTGTTTCTCTGTTATTATAAAATATAAGCATTTTTCTATAATCAAAATTAGATTCTCCCTTCAGGTTGTAATTAAACCCTAATCTAATTTACTGGGAGATGACAGGGGCCTTCAAGCAGAGATTACAGCCCTGCTCTTCTCTTCCCTACCCACCTCCCTCCACCTGCTTTTGCAGACTTTCCTCTGCATAACTAGAAACCTTTAGGGACTGTTCCTGAAAGCATCATGCGTCAAGAAGAGCCCCTGTAAGGACACACTCTTGCTTGGTAGGACCCACCTTTCCATGAACTACCCCAGTGCCCAAGTCTTCTCCCCCAACCCTTTCACATAACCATAGCTGATCTCCACTTCCCAGTCTCCTCCTCTGGGCCAGATCCCAATTCCCTAAACAAAACTGCTATTGATGATCTGTATTATTCAGAGTAGCAGCACTTCAATAACGCAATGGTTAGGTTTGCTAGGTTTCCTAGGGCATTATGGAAAAACTATTTGCTATTGTAATTAAAATAACTGCCCAGGCTAGGCTTTTGTACTATGCACAGAGGCCACAGTGGGAAGAATCGCTAGGGATGAGTTTATAGACGCGCTCCAGCATGACTGCAAGATCACTCCTGGGCTTGGAAACCCACAGACCAGTGCTGGATAGCTCTGCCCCCCATGGATGTTCAGACAAGTGCTCCCCCCAGCCATCTGTAGCTGCACCTACAAACAAAGCAGAACCCACCATTTCATTATAAAATACTAAATAGCTGTTTTGTGAATGTGACATGCATGTTAACAGATGAAAATTCACTTCACCAAGGTGGCATTTGCCTCGGGCCACGAAAACCTGAGAAAGCAGCTTCCCAAGCTAGCTTCCCTTCCCAGGGGAACCAGTACGGGACCACAGTAAAATAGCAAGAGACTTGGGATAGCAACATATCATTCTGCTGCTGGCAGTGCCCGTGCAGGTTGATGGCATGAAATAACAACAAATAGGGTTGGCAGGGAAGGGAAGAGCTCACATTTTATATCTGCTTGCCCAAGCACCTAAACCTAAGCCAATGCACAGCTCTGTGGCTCCAGAAATAAGAAAGCATTATGAGAAGGACTGTGAGCTAATACTAGAAGTGCTAGGAGGCCATCACAGTCTCAGCTTGGCCCCTGCACAGCTTCAAACTGGTGGAGGTCACCTGTCCTCTGAGCGTCCACCCTGAGCACAACTGGTAGGCACTACTTCCAGACAGGAAAGTCAAAAGCAATCTGTCAGACCCCAAATAGTCTCAGGCTTTGCAAAGATACAAACAGCGCACCAGGAAGGAGAAGAGCTCCAGGGAGAGTGCAAAGCTGCACATACCTCATCTGTCTCACATGGCTATCTGTCAGGAATGACCAGTCATAGCGGACAGGAAGTGGGCTGCAGTTAGTCATCTCGATGTAACGCACATCTTCAGTGTCATTCAGGATGCAGCCAAAGTCGAGGGCCATGGTCTGGAAATGGAGATTTGGAAAGTACACTTCTCCTCGAAGGGCAATGCACTCCTCATGAGAGTGCTCAAGGAAGCGTATCATCAGGACTGCCTTTGCTACCCGGATATCCAAACCCTCGTGATAAGCAGGGTTAAATCTGACAGAAAGATGAAGTTCTTCCCCTACTTCCAGCTTGATGGCCTGCAGTGAGAGATAAAGAGGTATTAATCATCGGCATAATGAAGTTCCAAGGTCTGATGGCATGAAATGCGCAAATGCATGATGTTCAAATTGGGACCCCAACGTGGGCTTCTCAGTTCATCCTTCATTTTCTTTACAGTGTGCTTCTGACTGTTAGCACCACAGTCTTGTCCGAGACCATCTCAGGCTCTCATTCCTGTGCTCTGCATCAACACAAGAGGGAAGTAAATTTTGTTCTACTGAATTCTAGACCTTCAAACGCTATACAATAAAAACCAAACTAGCTCTCTGGCAAGCCTTTGGCCCCGACTCTGAGAGAACTCCTTCATCCTCACACTCAGCACATGTGCAACTGCATTAGACTCACCCTTGCGGTGGAGAAGGAAAATATGAGCTTACTTACATGAAAAATCTTTCATGCTCAGGAAAGTCTCCAAGAGACTTACAAAACTTCAGTCTTCAATGAGCTTGCCTGTCCCTGCCCCAAGTAACACATCTTGCCAGGAAACAATGTAGAAACTGGACGTGAACTAGTGTTAGGGTGGTGAGTCAGCAGACCTGAGGCTGACCTTGTCTGTCCTGGCTTCGCTTCAGTGCAGCTCCACTAACTTCAGCACAGTGCTAGTCATTGGCATGGATGTTGCTGAGCACAGTAGTGCCTACAGCAATACGTGCATAGCACAGCCTGCGTCCAGCTTCTCCCACCGGCAACGGGGCAGGTGCCAGGCAGCAGCCAGAGCACTCTGAGCCTTCCCCAAAGCAGAGCTGGCCTCAAAGAGAGCAAGCTGCTATTGGGGTGATCTGAGGATGGATACCAGAGCACTGTGACAGTTTCCCAGGAAAGACCATTACTACGTGGCTTGCAAAGAGCCACTTGGCAGCTGTTCTCCTTCTCATGTGCTGTCTTAGACGCAAGGCGTATTTCCCCCAAATCAGACAATATTTCATTTTCTTCAGCAGTTCATTTTGAATCTGATTTAGTTCAGGCCTGCTGACACTAAAGAACAAAATTCTCTACCAGAGGGCCTTCGGACCACAAGGTACCACCCCACTCCTCCCTCTTCAAACCACACCAGTAGGGAGGTTCATGGCTGCTCACCCGATCATCTACACAGATGGGCTGCTGGTCCACATCACAGAGGGAGAAGGGATGTTCTATGGACAGGACAATGTTGAGTGGCAAGGAAGAGATGTTTTTTAAATCAAGACACTTAAACTGAGGAGTTAGGACATCACTGGCTTCCTGTAGAAACACAGGAGAGGACAAAGAGAAAGAAGACCGAGGGAGTGGTTGTGGATCGCCTTCTTCTGCTGCATTTCACATCTTTCAACTCCACAAGAACAGACATCTCTACTACTCTTACCGGTTCCTGCTCTTCTAGAAGGCTTTTCTTTAAGAATATCAAACACCGTGTTTAGAACCCATAGCACCCCCCTCAAGGGACTGGGAAATGTTACCGTCTCATGAACAGATGAGGGAATAGGATCCCTAGACGGGGAAGCTGCTTGGCAAGGTGAAAAAGGAAAGAGAAAACAGATTGTTTGTCTCCAGTTTTGTCTCCTCTCCTGCGCTGAAGGGCACAAGACATTTCCACTCACATACAGTAACCCTTTACAACCTTATAGGCTCAAGCAGTCTCATAAAAAGCAGTGAGGCTAGCCAGAGGTGTAAAAAAAGCAGGTTTTAGCCTGTAGAGGAGAGACTGCATTAGCCTAAGGTTACGTTTAGACATTTGCACACACATCCAGCTGCCTACAAGCCTGGACAGCTCAGCTGCAAAGTGTCTCCTGCTGCCCCTGCTATAGTGACAAGCTGTCTATAGACTCCAATCTAAGATCTAGTCTAAGCTACTTCTTCCTGTTTATGTGTTTCTCTGGGCCTCCTGTACGGTTTATATAAACTAGATAGTGTTTGGGAAACTAGTTCTAAATGTATTGATATCAAACAGCTGCTGCAGTGTCATTGCACTCAATAAATCGGAGCGCGCGGCATCAAGCAGACTGCAGGCAGACATCAGGGATAGCTGGAAAGCATCTAATTCAATCTGAACTGCCTCCTCATAGGATTTTGTGCTACTCTGGGAGTCAGGGAGCTAGACCTGAAAATGCAGAAACTAAATTTTGACATATTTTCTCTTTTTCAGACACCTCACAGGAGAGGGTAGGAATCAGGACCTAGAGAGGAGAAGGGCAGCTGCTTTGTGCCAGTGTTATCACCACTGCAGCTAGAGAACTTCTATGGCTCCTTCAAACACTGTGAGGTTTGGGGAAATGCAAAGATCTGTTAGCGCTGGCATTCGTACCCACAGCAAAGAGGGCAGACAACAGACAAAGGGTGACAATTTTTCCTGTCAGCCTGAGAGGCTGACAAGATCCTCGATTTTTCTCAGCTTCCCTACAGGAATAATGTTCAGATTTCACCATGCCTTACAAGCTGCTGGTAAACTTCTCTTTATACTGGATATGGAAACCAGCGGCCATAAGCCCCCTCTACAGAGGGCTCAATTTTACGTAGGCAAGCAAGTCAAAAAAATCAGTCCTATCTCTAAATAGGTCTGCACCTACTTTGCACAGAGCTGCACGAGGGGTGAGATGGAGGTTTAGCATAGCTCAGCTGCAGCGATCTGCTCTCTGCAGCCCCAGGCTGCCACACGAGGTGGCTGTGCAAAGCTCACCCAGCACACCATGCTCTCACGGGTCCTACGTGTCTCACCCTGCACCCTTGGGTCAGTAGCTCAAACAATTCTGTCTCTACGCCAAGAAAGGCGGAATCAAGCTGAAAAGGCTGTCCAGGGGATGGAGGAACTGACATAAAGATCTAAGTACTAATGGGAAAAGCTCGGTCCCACTCAAATCAATAGCCAAAGCCCCACAGATTTCAGAAGAAGTTGTTTAATTTCCTTGTTTAATTGCAGGCTTTCAGTCACGAGCCATGCTGCCTATTAAATGGCAGAAGGCGGTTCAGAGACTTACCTTCTCTACCCGGAAAGTGATTTCCCTAGAAGAGATTTGCAGAACAGGAGCAATGAACTCGCACATGACATCCACTTGCATTATTTGTGTCTTCCCTGCCTTGCTCCCTACGATGGCGTGACACAGCAGTCGCTCCTTCGCTACCTGTAGGCAAGAGAGCCACGCATGACCCAGCGGATGCTAGCAGGGTATCTCAATAACACACTGTAATCGCCAGCCATCTGACTACAGACGTGTAGGATTTTGGCAGCCTGAATGAAAACCTTGCCACTGGATCTTGGCAATCATTGAACAGCGGGTATCATAAAGATACAACCACTGGTCATCAACATCTCCCCTTTCTTCTTATGCTGCGCCCCGTTTATTCAGCACTCAGATGTCCATAACGCTACGGCGTACACAGAAGGCACTTGTGAGTCATGTGCTGTCTACAATCATAATAATTACTGCCTCAAATGAGTATTGTTTTCATATGTTCTGCTGCTAAACATAACACTTCCAGGAAACTGTAGGAAATCGCTACAAAAATAAAATAATTGTATGAAGGGAAAGAGGCAATGAAAAGGTCCAATGCCAGCAAACCTTTCCTTAGAAGCTTTGTGGAAAGGATGCAGAGGAAAAACCCAAATAGCCAACCCGTCTTTAAGTAAAGAGAGGCTCACCCATTCCCAGGAATGTATTGGGCCTGGTTTGAAAAGAAACCTCTCCATAAAAGAGGTGTGTCTCACTTCATACGGAAAGCCTCTGCACCAGCCAGAAGCTCTTACATCCAGATACTTTCCTGATTTCTCTCATGGTTTCACTCCAAGTTCCTCCCCCTCATTTCTCACTCTTCCCTATGGTACAACACCACAACACAACTCCTCCTTGGAGCTTACATCCTCCAAAATCAGCTGTGTTACATGTCCAATGTAGGGAGTTGGGCTTCCAACCAACCTAAAGGGTATCAAGTTCTCAATAAACAAGGAAGGTAGAAAGCCTGCTCCCAGGGTCTTGGCTTTGACTCCAGCAGCCACATAGCCAAAGCTGAGCTCACAGATCTGCTTTCAGCTTTCCATGCAAGACATTTTCTCCAGCCCTGATCATTTTGTTTCCTTTCTGGTGCCTTTTCCCTTCAGCAAAACCTTAGGGTTCAGAACTGCACAGGGATATACCCGGAGAGTCCCATCACAGTCAACTGAGTTATCAAGTCTACATCAAGCTACCCCTGAAGCAAGCCCTGAAAACACTTTCAAAAGCACTGCTATTAGCAATGGTATAATGCAGATTCACTCCTTGTTCACTTGAATGGCTGTGACCAGCGGTTTTGGAGCAAGGCAGCACAGACCAGCACAGCTGGTAGCTTCTTGACAGAACTGGATTTCCCCTGGAAGGGGGCTGGGAAGGAGAACACATAGCCACCCTCTTGCATCTCCCTCTTTGAGCTGCAGCCCAAAGGTGCACAACCTTATCACAAGACTTGGCTGCCTTTGGGATGCTGGAGCTGGCTAAGAGACTGGGGTGAGCTGCTATGGAAATATTGACAACAGTCAAGCTGTCAATTATAATGATCTCTGGGAACAGTCTCCCGGGTGGAGAATGTCGCTCTGTGATCATTAGAGCTAATGCATTGTGTTCATTTTTCTCTTCCAGGACTCAGCACTAGACAAGCCCTCGGCCTGTGTTTATACAGAGAGAAAAAAATGATGCTGCTCCCAGACACTCCCTCCCTTTGCAGGTGTATTTTGGATTACTCCCTGCTTCCCCCAGATATATTACATTTTTCTATTTACTTTTTGCCTGTGCTCCTAAACTCTCTAAACAGCTCCTTCCTCTGCCCTTCCTTTCTGCCTCAGCATGTGACACCTTATAAGCTGTCGCTTGCCCCTGAAGTAGCACCTTCTTCAGCCCATATTTTGGTATTAGCAAGTTGGGTCTATGGTAGCTATAGTAACAAGAAAAGCCTTAGCAACTAATAGTGGCCAGCAAGAAAAGCAGCTGGTGCTGCCATGGTAACTTGTGGCATTAAAACCGTTCTTGAAAGCAATTGCTCATTTTCTCAGGCATATGTCAAGGGGCTACTGAAGAAGTCCAAGCGGCAGTGATCTGATGGGAAAGGCTTGTCTCCCGCGCAGGACCTCACCTTGGGAGTCCTGGAGAAGCCTTCCAGCATCATGTCCATAGTCTTGCCCGGGGTCAGCTCCATCCTTAGCGGCCGAAGCTTAAAAACAGGAGATGCAGGTCTGACGCTCCGGGATAAATTTTTGCTTTTAGTGTGAGTGAGAGAAGGGAGATGATCCCGCTGGCGAAATGGGGCAAAGCCTTCTGTTGTCCAGTAGAGCTGATGGGTGCGACGTCCCTGGTTCGTTATCTTGAAGTGGTAATAGCAGGGTTCCTGACTAGAAGAGAAGCAGAGATGGGGAACGTTGTGGAGGCTGAAATTTCTGTGTTCAGCCAGCTTCTTCACATACTGCAAAGAAAAGTTTCATGAAGAATGACATCTCCGGCCCCAGGGCAACCCTGGGGGCAGGCTACCCTAGAGACAGAGCATCACTGGCCTTTGGCGCTTAATACTCAGAGCGTCTTTCCAATGGGTGCCCTGCAGGTCTTGCTGCATCAGCTGCTAAGCTCATCCCTACTGGCTGTAAGTGGAAGGCAGAAGTAGCTTGCTGCCATTTCACCTTTAGGAGCTGCTGACCACAAGACAAGGCTAGAAGAGATGCTCTGATCTCCAGCTTTGCCTGCTCCCTCTCTAGTTAGCATAAACCTTTAAATAAAGCTCAGTTGCCTGAAGGGAAAAGATGGAACCTTTGGCAGTGGGGCCATGAAGAGACATCACCTGAGCTGCAGTTCTTAACCGTGAGGTCTTGGCATTGCCTGCTCAAGGGCCTCGACCAGCCTTTGCACAACGGTGAAGAGGGGGCAAGCTGGTCCCCAGCTTCCCCTGCTCCTCGCAGCACTGCCAGAGAGGAAGCAAGGGCTGACCTCAGCTGCTCCATTTCATGGCATAGCTCCAGTGGTCCCCAAGACGTGCACGGGCACTTCGGCTCTATAAGGAAAAACGCAGCGTGCATCGATGCTGTTTTGGAGAGGCTTTTGTCAGCCTTTCCTTCACCTCCTCAAAAACGATGGCCTTTCGTTAAGCTGGTCAGCGCATGGCAAGACGGGCTCACAGGGCTTCAGTGTCTCCTGTGAAGATGTGATTTGGGGGCTGGAAAGTACGTAGACTCATCTGGCAATCTGGACTCTGGGTTGACCCTGGCTGCCACTGGTGAGCCTGCCCCATTTGCCTCACTGGCAGCGATGGGATGGGCCTCAGTCAGCGAGTTGCCTGCCCTGCCAGCCATGGCGTTGTGCTCAGCTCCAGCTCCCTTCCCTTCGGGAACAGCCAGCCCTTGCTGCTCTGGCAGCTCCTCTGCCTGCACAACACAGCTGGTTTGGGGCTTTAGGAAGATAAGGGTACTGTGAGCACAGACTCACTCAATGGAAGTTTTTGCAGGTAGAATGTGGCAGCAGGGCCAAGTCTAGCTATTGAGGCGACAGAGCAACATCAGGAGATAAATAACCAGAACTAGACATGAAACAAAAAGAACATTCAATGGAAATTGATTCCTTTATGTAAAGGAACACTAACTGCAGGCTAGTCAGGAGTAATTATTTTGCCTTCTATAAATCTAACTATGATCAGCAAAGAAATTGTTCCTGGAACAATTATTGTCTGTCCTTTTTTTTTTTTTTTTTTAAAGGTACAAAATATGAAGCTTAGAAAATGTGTATCTGCCATAAGCAGCTAGACACCAACACAAAAGTGACAGTATAGAACAAATCAGTCTTTGAAACAAACTGTTAAGAGCATTTGATGTGCACAGGGTTAGCATGAAACTTTTCATCTTGAGGACAGCAACAGATCATAACTTTGAGAAGCTCTGGGTAGAATGCATAATTTCTAGCTCTTTAAAACCCCAACTTATCTGCCTGTGTCCCATTTCAGCTCATCTGGTTGCAGCTAACAGCAACGGCAGCTGAAATCCAAAACAAGACTGCAGGCTAGGATGCAAAGGGGGGCAGAGGCTGATAGCATGAATCATGTTGACCTGGTCTTGTCCATCATGCAGCCAATTTGTAGTTGCAGGCAGCACATGAAACGCACTGGACAAGCACAAACCTGTCTGCAGGGTCTCGACTTAGGACAGTGCCCGTTTAAAGCCCAAAATCTATCCTAAACATTCAAGGTAGAATTCATCTGGTCTAACTTAATGTCCAAAAGTTGGATTTTGAAATGCTGTGGACTTTCTTTATAGTCAGGGAAAAGGAAGAGGCACTTTCAGAAGGTGATTCCTCTCACCATGACAGGCCAGGTGAAGAGCACTTTGGAAAGTGCTAGAGGACCCTGCTTGAGCGGGGAGGTTGGACTAGATGATCTCCAGAGGTCCCTTCCAACCTCAGCCATTCTGTGATTCTGCGAAAGGCCTATTTTTCTCTTTATAAAGAGATGGCTTTGGACATGTGTGCTTCGATCATTGAACCCTCTCCTTAGAGCTAAGCTCTTTCAATTAAGACTCTCGATTTATCCCGCCCAACAGCCTGAGTCAGTGGACTTTCCTCCTCTCATTTTCGAAGCTAGTCTTTGCAGCCATGCTCCCATGCCTATGCCAAGGGGAGTGCATTTCTCCCACCAGCCTGAACCTCAGGCCTGTGCAGCTTTGATGGAGGAGATGAGGAGGAAACCAGGGAGCAGAGACAGGGAAAAGTTTAATAAACAGAAGCTCAGCAGGGCAGCCAGGAAAGACAAGCGAACTGTGGGATGATACAGGGCAAAGACAAATTCGGTTGCTCTTCCAGGACTCCTGGGCAGGAAGGAAAGAAAGTAGCATCATTAATCTAGTCAGGGAGTTGCTAACAAGCTACCATCAGGTTTTCTGCTGTTGTGAAATGATGTTCCACAGTGAGTGAAAAAGCAAGTAACATTACTGCAAAGGGAAATATGTTTATATTTGTAATGTAGCATTTTGCAGGCAGAGGCTTCCCGGACCTGCTGTTTTGCTCTAAATCCTTATTTGATAAAGGAAGGAAATAAATGCATTATAACCAAGGGCAAATTGGTGACAATTTAGCAACTGGTTTCCATGTTGGTAGCTTTTGAGGGTGAAGGTTTAATGACTCTGAAACAGTCATAAAATGTTTCTAAAGGAATTCCTGTGGCTTTTGTTTCAGTGAAATGGTGCCAGGGCCTTGAGTACTGCAGGAGAATTAGTCTGAAGGACTACAGCAAAACTTCTTGCTAAGCACATGGGAGAGACAAGAGCTGAGAGATGTCCTACCTGAAGTGGGGCCCCAGATTGAGCTCTGGAGCAAAGGCTTTGTCAGTGACGATCGTGGTGCCAATGCCAACAGCCTGGACTGGGATCTCATAGGGGCTGTTGTGCTCTATGAACAAGTTCACCTTGTCTTTGAATTTCTCGGTATCATCCAAGTGGGCTATGACAATCACAGACACCTCAGTCTCAGGGGGAACCACTCCTTCGCTGGGTTCAATCCTCCAGCGCGAGCATTTGTCAGCCTGTAAAACAACACAAATACTAACTTATGAAAGGAACCACAGAGGAAGGATTATAAGATATGAGAGAATAAAAAGCATAGAGGGTTAGTATTGCTAAATCCAAGCTGTGGCAATGGTGTCTTGAAAAAGCAACTCTCTGGAATCTTCTGTAAGCTATATTACCCCCCCCCCCCCCAACCCCGTTTAGCAGACTCACTTCATTAACCCAGTTTTGCCCAACCTGAGGGATGTTCAGCCTCAGGAGAAGGTATTCCCCTCCAGCCTCTCTGCTGGAGTAGGCACCAAGGGAGCCTGCTTTGTTTCTCCTGGCTTACTGACAACGGCCGGGTTTGCATAAAGGCCCGAGGACAGAGGAAGCCAGGACTGCTCAAATCCCACCGCAGCAGCCATGTGGCTGGGGTATACTGCTGTGAGCCTGAAGAATAACTGCAAAACCAGTTGATCAAAATCCCAAATCCAAAGTCATCTTTCTCAAGAGTTAGATAGTGTTTCTCAACAGAGCCTGAAAGACTGAAGCAGCCAGTTCCTGCTAATCATCAGCCACTGGTGCCCCAGAGCCCGAGGCTTTGGAAAATTGAGCCATAAATGTTTATTTCTTTACTGCCCTGAGGTAAGCAGAAGGAAAACTGAACACAAGATGTGTGGATTTGTGGGCACAGCCTGGGCTTCCCACAAGTTCCCTTCCACTGATTTCCCACAGACCTTCCTCTACAAATGGGGCAATAAGAGCACCGGACCCCGGCCTACCTCAAGGAGGTAAGGGAGCAAGCTTCACAGGGAGCAAGCTTGCAGCATACCAAAAAAAAAAAAAAAAAAAAAAGCATACAGTAGCCCCTAACCAGCTCTAAATGGAATCAGGAATCCCTGAAGACCGTGGTTACCTCTGTAAGTGTCGGCAGACCTCATGCGAGCAAAAAAGGATGGGCTGGTCGTTCCAGTCTGCCAGCCGTGAACTGATACCTTCAAAGGGAAAGATGCCTGCAAAGTCCTCTGCAACACCAATACCCTCCAGCTCCTGCATGAAGGCAGGCCATGCGTTCACACAACCCTCAGGAGCTGAGAGACTAAATCTCAGTTACTGTTTGCTTATAGATTTATCATTTCCAATACGGATAATATGGAAGAGGGAGGACCACAAGCCACGTCCAAAGGTACTACTGCTGGGACTGGTAGCGCCGGGCTGGGCCACGTACCACTTTGCAGCAGCTGCCGTGCTGTTGGTGGTACACGTATCCCCAATTCAGGACTGTGCGTTCTGGAAGCCAGGCACTAACCCTACCCCCAACTATACCCAAAACACCAGAGTATTGTAAAAGAGAACATTTTTGCTTTTCTTTCTTTTCTAATGAAAAGCGAGAATGTGCTCAGAGGCCTAATATGATACAAGCAGCTGCTTGATTCAAGTGCAAATAGCCTGATTTTCCATCCGTCAGGCTGGTGGCACAGGGCTCAAACAAGATGCCAGCCAGCCCAAGGCAGAAGAGTATCAGGAAACAAAGGCAGCACTTCAAAGTTGGGGAAGGCATTCTGAGTAACCCCCCTGCAACTGACCCTGGCTAACAATTAGGGTAAGACTAGCTAGAGGCCAGAGAAGCAACAACATACTGCGTGCTCAGGGTCCTGGCCTTGCGCATAGGTGCCCAGCTGTGCTAACTCCTTCCCCAGGGCTGACTGCACCCCACACAGCAGCAGGCCAGGTCTCTGCATGGTGGTCCCAGACTGAGCATGCCAAAGGCATCAAAATTATTCCAGCTACATCACACTGGCAAAATGAATAAACTCAGGCAGCTCCATTTATTTTTTTCTCCAGGGCTGCAGAAAAAGAACGTCTTTAAAAAAAGTCTTGCTTCTCCATGAAGAGCAGGCTAGGCACAAGCTAACTACCTGGCCTTTTTTTCATTCCTACACCTTTTACATTAATTAGCTGCAATGTATTCTCCATTCTTCTGGTCTGGGATCTCATATTCCCCCAGTGAACGTTCTTATATTCCCTTTGAGGTCTGACTAGTTACCATTTTGTTTTCTACACCCATGATGTTTCCTAGCCTTGCGTAGGAAGAAGCAGCAGTGCTCAAAAAGCAGCCTGAACACAGAGGGCATGCAGCTAGATTGGAAGATGGCAACCAGAGCTGCAGCCCCACTTGACCTGCTTGTCCAGAGAGACTATGGTTACCATAGCGGACCTCCTGAAACTCCATCAAAAAAATCACCACCAAATGCACTCTCATCCCAAAAATGATAACCAGTTACACGCACACAACCACAAGCAGGTAGAAAAGAGAAGACTGACCTCACCACACATCGTCCCACCCACCCTCTCCCATTTTTCCTGCTTTCCTTGTGGAGCTGATCACTAGACTAGAGGGATCCACTGGGCTGCAATGAGCCAAAGGCTCTCCAGAGAGCACATTCATACCAAGCCAGTGGGTGTTAGCTTTTCATTGACATTAACGTACAACTTTTCCTCTGATTCATGCAGACATAAGGTAGCTAGCTTGAAAAGGAGATCTGATAGCTTTGCTCCAGAGGTGAATCTGCAAGTCTGCTACCTGACAGAGCTAATTTATCAAAGCCTGGCAATAAGCCAGGCAGTAAATTGCACCCAAGAAACTTATCACAGAGGAATAATGATAGGCTGTCTAGATGCAGCCAGAGTTTGAATTTCCTAGCGTTATCCAGTGCAGACCCACCATGTCCTGGCAGGCCAGCAACTGACTCTGGAGGACTAAGATTTGCATCCTGTCCTCATTCCTTTGGTTAGCATTTGGTGTGGGTCCAAGGGGCAGCATAATGTATCACCGAACAGAGACCTGCCAAGACCAAGAGATTCTGCCAGGCCAGATTCGCTCAGGTTTCTAGGTCAGCTCTGCCAACACTGATCCAGGCTGATTCCCAGAGACGGGAAATCTCCTGGAGCTGGAAGAGGTCACCACCTCCTTTTCCTGCTCTGTGGACTGTAGAGGTTGAGAGAAGGCCACAATCACTTGGTCAGAAGACCGTCATGACCTGACTGCCTGGGGACACAGTGGGTTTCATTGCTGGATTCCCTATAACCCTCCAGGTGAGTCTTCAACTGTTCACAAAAAAAAAAGTGTCCCAAGTCACCATGCATTCTCCATAAGGATTACTCTTGCATAAGACTGAGGTTAAATATGTGCAGAGAGCAGCAAATTACCTGCTCACAACTGAGCATGGGGAAATGCCACGCTGACAGCACTCAGTTGTTCACCACGCAAAGCGGCTGGTTCAGTATTGCGATCAGACCAAGAACCTGGGCTCTGCTGCGAGACCAGGAGCTTTGCTGTACCTTGGATCCTCCAGCTGAAGAGAGGATTAAAAAAAAGCCTCTTTCCTCTGTAAAGGGCTTGGAAGCAATTGGTCTATGGAAAAAACACCGCTTAGGAGACCGAGTAATATCTGACTTCTGATGACATCCCTGCTACTTGCTTATCCCTGAATGCTCTGTGAAATGACGCAATAGCTGCATGCATACAATAGACAAAGATGGCGGCTATTTTTGTCTCTGTAGGAGCTTGCATTATTGGGCATCAGAGTCGCTGAGTGCTAGTCAATGGTTGGGATGAAACATTTAATCAAGAAACTCAATACAGAGATCATTAGCTTCTCCCAGGACAGACTTGCATTGTGAATAAAAGCTGCCAAAATCTGGTTATAATGAACACCAGCATGACCCTCTGACATGGATGGCAACCCTTAAGGAATGACTGGGGAGCCACCATACTCACTTCTCTTGAAGCAGCTTAAAGCTAGTTAATTAGAAGCATCTGGTCATTCTGGCCTTGCACAAGCAAAATAGGAAGCAGAACTCCATAGTCAAAATGCAGCTGTATTTCTTACCCTGCCATATGTCTAGTGACAGAGCATTCACATTGTGTTGGGCTGACCCATCGTTCCTTGTGGATGCTTCAAATGAAGAGGGAATAAATTCCCATTCTACATCAGCTGTGCACAGAGCTCTGACCCAGGTATTTTAGCAGTCTCAAGGGGGGGGCACTGGGAGCCTCTCTCAGGGCCCCAGAGGCAGTGCCAAGAATTCAAAACACATGGATAACAGTACCTGCTAAAGAAACATAAGCACCTTGAGCAGATGGACAGCTCCAGAGTAGCTGCAGGACCATCCCTTCCATCAGCCATTTTTTAAGACCAGTCAACTGAGCAGGGATGAGGCTGATGTTTTATTAGGGCCAAATAGGATCTCAGCTAGGCAGGAAAACTGCCAAGAAAACATCAGGGGTACTGTTTTCTGGCTACAGGTGCATAAGGAAAGCAACCCTGAAACAGTGCCTCCAGGAACTCAGTATTGTCTAGGTAACAGGTGAGGTGCTGTTGAAAGTATCCCTACATACATATAATTGTACATACCATGTTTTTCCACCACATAAAGCCCTAGAATTTTAACCAGGAATATCATCTTTCTAAAATCAGAGACATCTAGTGTAAAAAGGAAACTGCTTGCTCCATTCAAAAAATCAAATTCAGGAGTTTGTCTCCAAAATTTTAGAAATGCAATGGAAAAAGGGCATTGCCTGCACTGGAACGACACAGACATGAGCCAGGAACGACACTGCAGAACCGGTACTGCTGACTCAAAAGGATCTTCAAGTCCTCCAAGGGAAAAATGGCAGAAGGAACCATCACATCATGTTAGACCTGTAGCAGAGAGCACCTTCCACTGCCATAGCTCCTTACAGCTATGCTACAGAAAAGCCTCTCTGGCTCCATGAAGCAACAACGTATTCCGCTCACTGCAAGCAGGGGAATGGGAGGAAGAAAAGGGAAGTGGAAGTGGGTCCACAAACTGGATCTGACAATACCAGAAGACCACTGAACTGCACCAAGAGGCCAAGCAGGAGGCTGTAGATCGGGGTGTGAGGCTGGTTATCTGTTCTTATAGACAATTAGCCCGCTGCTGCCACCTCAGCAGCAGCACCTTCATGTCAAAAGCACGGGGAGAAACCTCTGGCACGGAGCATTACCTC